GCTAATTTTTTGTATTTTTAGTAGAGACGGGGTTTCACCATGTTGACCAGGATGGTCTCAATCTCTTGACCTCGTGATCCACCCACCTCGGCCTCCCAAAGTGCTGGGATTACAGGCTTGGGCCACCGCGCCCGGCCAAGACCACAATAATTTAAGGAAGAAAAAGAAGTCTACTGTGGCCAACACGCAGAGGTAGGAAGGTGGTATGAGATAGGAAAAGGAGAAAAATTCAATTCAGGCAGGGCTTTACAGGCTAGATCAAATACTTTGATCTTTAGCGTAAGAGTAATAGTGCATAGTCAAATTTTCAATAATTACGCCGGGCGCGGTGGCCCAAGCCTGTAATCCCAGCACTTTGGGAGGCCGAGGCGGGTGGATCACGAGGTCAAGAGATCGAGACCATCTTGGTCAACATGGTGAAATCCCGTCTCTACTAAAAATACAAAAACATTAGCTGGGCATGGTGCGTGCCTGTAATCCCAGCTACTGAGGAGGTTGAGGCAGGAGAATTGCCTGAACCCAGGAGGCGGAGGTTGCGGTGAGCCGAGATCGCGCCATTGCACTCCAGCCTGGTTAACAAGAGTGAAACTCCGTCTCAAAAAAAAAAAAAAAAATTTTTTTTCAATAATCACTATAGCTTCATAGCTTCAGGGAGGAGAAGGAGAAGATCCATAAAGTCCAGTTGGAATGTTATTGCAGTCATCTAGGTTAGAGATGATTATTGACAGAATAGATGAAAAACAGTGGATGAATATTAGGAAATTAAAACCAGTAGGTTGGGTGCTGTAATCCTAGCACTTTAGGAGGCCAAGGTGGGAGAATCACTTGAGGTCAGGAGTTCAAGACCAGCCTGGCCAACATGGTGAAACCCCATCTCCACAAAAAATACAAAAATTAGCCAGGCGCGGTGGCGCATGCCTGTAATCCCAGCTACTTGGGAGGCTGAGGCAGGAGAATCCCTTGAACCAGCAGCAGAGGTTGCAGTGAGCAGAGATTGCACTAGTGCACTCCAGCCCAGGTGGCAGAATAAGTGAGACTCTGTCTCAAAAAAACAAAACAAAAACAGTATATCTTACTGATGATTTGAATATGTACATCGAGGGAGAAAGAGGTATAGAGTGATTCCTCAGTTTTAATTTTGAACCTGGACAGAAGGTAATGCTAGTCATTGAGAAAAGAAACTTTCAAGGAGAATCAGTTTTAGAGGCCCAGAGATTGTGAAGATCCTAAATTCTAAAACGGCCATGTTTGCCCCTGGTTGGCCATTTGAAGCTGATTGGTTAAAGAAAAAAGATACTTGACAATTAGGAGACTCCAACAAAACAGCTGGGCCTCTGTCCAGTTACCATATAGTGATTTCTACCCTATACAGTGATTTCATCCTTTCAGATGAAAAACCCACCTATACACACAACTTCCAAATAACTTGTTAGGGCTTCACTCTTAAGTTAAAA